CCATCCATCCATCCATCCATAATGATAATAATAATAAGACTTTATTTCAAGAGGGTTAAACACTAAACAGTTATAATAACTGATAAGCTTGTTGCCCTCGAAGCTAATAAAAATCTAACTATAAATAAATAAATATATATATATATATATAACACTCAACGTTCCCATATTAGCAGACTAGTTCAACATATCAATTACACACATATAATCAAAAGCTTAGTAACTACATATTCAGAGTTCAATCGTAATCCTACGGAGTAGGTTGCTTAATGAAACATATTCAAGCACCAACTGTGTACAGCGACGAACCCAACAACATCATCACAATCAATTCATCAATTCATCCACCCATCCACCACCATTAACATTGATATCAATAAAATAGAAAATGTACTTCCTAATATCTTTCCTGTAGATTGGAACTCGAACTGAAGCAAGCTGTTTTCATCTTGAGTGTCAGTGCCTCCATACTGACACTTCTAGTCATATCCCTCAATCGGTATTTTGTCATCGTGCATCCATTTCATTACCGCTCAACTATGAACAACGCCATAGTCGTCATTGCTATAGTAATAACCTGGATTTACCCGATCGTTGGTGGTTTTCTTCCATTAGCTGGTTGGAATGATGCAAATTACGAATGTTCTGGAATCATTCCTGGACTTGCGAAGAGCTACGTGTTTGTGCTTAGCTTGCATGTTGTGGTGATCTTGATCGTCATTTTGGTCTTGTATCTGCGCATCTATTGTAAGGTAAGAAGGAATATTTGTGATGATGCATGGTGCTGATGATGATGAAGATGGTGATGTGAGTGGTGGTGGTGATGATGATCTGATGGGGTTGATGAAGGTGGTGATGATGATGATCTGATGGGGTTGATGAAGGTGGTGATGATGATAATCTGATGGGTTGGTGAAGGTGGTGATGATCTGATGGGGTTGGTAAAGGTGGTGATGATGATGATCTGATGGGGTTGATGAAGGTGGTGATGATGATAATCTGATGGGTTGGTAAAGGTGGTGATGATGGTGATGATCTGATGGGGTTGGTAAAGGTGGTGATGATCTGATGGGGTTGATGAAGGTGGTGATGATGATAATCTGATGAGTTGGTAAAGGTGGTGATGATGGTGATGATGGTGATGATCTGATGGGTTGGTAAAGGTGGTGATGATCTGATGGGGTTGGTGAAGGTGGTGATGATGATGATAATCTGATGGGTTGGTGAAGGTGGTGATGATGGTGATGATCTGATGGGGTTGCTAAAGGTGGTGATGATGATGATCTGATGGGGTTGATGAAGGTGGTGATGATGATAATCTGATGGGTTGGTGAAGGTGGTGATGATGATGATCTGATGGGGTTGATGAAGATGATTATGATGGTGATGATCTGATGGGGTTGATGAAGGTGGTGATGATGGTTATAACGATGATTTGATGGGGTTGATTAAGGTGATAAAGTTGGTAATGATGGAGTTGATCTGATGGGGATGATGAAAGTGGTGATGATGGTGATGACGATGATCTGATTGGATTGATGAAAGTGGTGATGATGGTGATGACGATGATCTGATGGGGTTGATGAAAGTGGTAAATTAAAGGTGGTGATAATGGTGATAAAGTTGATCGGATGGGATTGATGAAAGTGGTGATGATGATGATGATCTGATGATTAAAAGGATGGTGGTGGTGATGATCTTATGGCGGTGGTTGTRGCATAGATGATGGTGTTTATTATGATGATGATTGTAGTGATGATAGCTGACGTTATCGATGATGGTGATGTTGATGAGTAATGAATCATGTTAACAATAATCATAATAAGAGAGTATGTTGCATGATGGTGATAATGTCTATGAGATTAATGCATACATTTTGTGACTTCTTAGCTATAGCCATTTAAAAATTTACCAAACTTTTACATATATATTTTTTCATTAAAATATATTATATTATATTATATCTAATGATTATCTTGAATTATTTTCATTCAGGTGCGAGAAAGTGCAAACAGTTTTGTTGTTGGAGGTCGTTCTGCAGAACGCAAAGCACACATCAAGGTGGCAAAAACCCTCTTCATCGTCACAACTGCATTTGCAGTTTGTTGGTTACCCTACATGACCATCTGTATTCTCGATTTCGCTCACTCCATCAAACTAGAGAAGTACACTCCAGTCTTTGCAGTCCTGGCTGCTCTCAACTCTGGTCTCAACCCTTTGATTTATGCCTGGCGTGATGGGGAAATGAGAACGACGTTTAAAAGTATTCTTTGTCCTTCTGCTTGTTGCAATAGGCCACCGGCACATGATTCGGGGATGGAATCGTCTAACGCCAGTACACACTCGACGCTATTCACTATGTGCTACGGTGGATCGCCTGTGGGTGATGGCGCTGAGGGCCGCTATGAAGATATTGATGAAAATAAGAACCCGCCAAAAGACGACAAGTTAGAACGAAGGCCTCTCACTGGAGACTAGGATAAACCAGTGAAATAAAGCTGCACCTTGCAACACATCACAATACTCCAGTTTCGAGTTCCAAGTTACCGCTGTGTTTCTTGATCATAGGCTCATTTGCTCGGGTTTAGTCTCGACTTTGTGCAGAATAATTATGTGTCCTCAAGAAGGTCCGTGGAATTTCTAAGTGTTTGTATTGTTGAAGTAGTGCATTCTTTACTTTACCGTTGGTATGTGTAAATATTCAAACACTGATACGAAGCTAACCCTGAGTAAATGAGTCAGTAATCAAGGAACACAGCGGTATTTTGGAACTCGAAACTGGAGTATTCAGAAGCCCRAATTTATTTTCTCCAATAAAGACACAGAACCACGGACATTTAGTTTTATCGAAAAGTAAAGTCGTACATCAATATGAAGGAACCAGTAACTTTTAAAGGTAGGAAATGAATAGGACTACAATCGTCATTCATAGTGAGGACAGCAAATAGAAAAAAAATCTTTACGTCATAAGCTTGCCATGATGTAATTTGACATTGAATCAGATACACTTATTTCAATAAAGTTAGTCACCTGAAAAGCTACAAAGCTGAGACCGGCAAGGATCATGGGTAGATACATTTTACATGTTTCAACCGCTTGATAACTGTTGATGGACTTGAGATCTTTTACCAGTTACAGTCTCACCTCCTCTGAGTATCCTCAACTGCTGCAATTTGTGTCAAAAGCTTTGTTTGTTGGATATGAAATATTTCCCATGATTCTTGGCGATCACAGCTTTCTAGCTTTTTGGTGACTAACTTTATTGAAATAAGTATATAATGTACAAAACAACTCATTCATTTAAACAACTAAACGTATAAAAAGTTTTAGAACAAGATATTTAAATTTAAACTATAAAACTAGGACCGTGGGCAAACAAAAACAGTAGGGGGGGGGGGGAGGTAAGATTGAAAAAAATATAAGAGACTAGCATTGGAAAAGGGAAAAAGTGTGTGTGGCGGGGGGAGGGGGGTATTATAGCTTCCCGTCTTTGCGGTCCTTGTAAAACGTTTGCTTTAACTTTAAGAAGCAAGATTTCTTATTTTCCAAAGAATAATTACCCGCTAAAATTAGCTTGCGTGATTATACACTATGATATGCGCATTAGCAATTTTAGAAAAGGCTATTATCATAATAAAACATCTTTGAACTGTTATTATCCCTTCTTGTTTCGCTTTTCCGGTTTTCAAGCCATCAAAATCGTAGTGTATGGCTTTCTACTCTTTTGGTGACCTTATCTATACCTCTTCCAGTGATGCTAAGTTGCTGTGTCTGTAACTAACTTTCATCTCTGTTACATGGCTATCGAGCTCTGAGATGTAGGTCAAGAAAAACGCGACCATGAGGAAAACCAAGGACCACTCACAAATAGCTGCGGTCACATGGAGTTCATATCCCTTAAAACACAAAGAATATCAGTTCAGTTGTAGTTGTATGGGTGCGGGAGGGTGGGTAGGTGGTGATAAAGGTGATAATCGTAATAATGGTGGGGTAGCCAGTGAATATAAGTGGAGGGTGATAGTTTTCGTGATGGTGGCTGGGGTAAACTGTGCGATGTTGATAATTGGTTGATTAGGGTGTTGGTGCAGGGGCGGCGGAAGCGGGGGGGCCGGGGGGTCACTGGCCCCCACCCCCCCACTAGATTTTTTGGGGGGGCCTGGCCCCCCCAGAATATAATGTCTCACACAAAAAAAAACCGAATGAGATTTGGTTATGATTACCATTATTTATTATTTTGATATTACATAATTTTCTGTATCTAAAAAAAATACGATATATCTAGCGACGACTTGCATCATTTTTGTGTCTCTCAGCACAATTGCAAGTGGTTTAAT